CCCCCCCCCCGTAGTGAGTGAGGACGTAGCCTAAGAGTCTGTCTATCTGCAATCAGACACCCCCGGCTGGCTTGTGCCAGCTGACTTGGGGTCGTGGGAGCTTTTTAACTGGGGTGCAGACATTTGGGCTTGGGCTGGAGCTCTACGATCCTGTGAGGTGGAAGGGTCCCAGAGCTCAACCTGCAGCCTGAGCCTATCCACACTGCAACTGAACAGCCCTTTAGCCAAGCCCTGGGAGGCCGTCAACTGGCACAGGCCAGTCATAAGTGTCTAACTGCAGTGCAAACATAGGAACTGTTTAATTGTGGTGTAGACGTTCGGGTGGCAGCCTGGGCTCTGGGACCCTCCTGCTTCACAGGGTTCTAAAGCCCAGGCTCCAGCCTAGCCTGAGACCTGGTCTACACTGGGGGGGAAGGGGGAGAGGGGAAATCGATCTAAATTACGCAACTTCAGCTACGTGATTAACGTAGCTGAAGTCAACATACTTAGATCTACTTACTGCGGTGTCTTCGCTGCGGTAGGTCGACTGCTGACGCTCCCCCATCGACTCCGCCTACACTTCTCGTTCGGGCGGAGTACCGGAGTCAACGGGAGAGCACTCAGTGGTCGATTTATCGCATCTTCACTAGACGCGATAAATCAACCCCCTGCTGGATCGATCGCTCCGGAGGTAAGTGTAGACGCCCTGAAAGTCTACACCACAATTAAACAGCCTCTTAGCCCAAGCCCCATGAGCGCGAGTGAGCTGTCATAGGCTGGTCGCAAGTTTTTAATTGCAGTGTAGACATACCCTCTGCCACTGCCCTTGAGGGAAGGAAAAGCAGAGTCAGTGAGATTCTGCATACCAGCAGCTGGTTAATACTGAAGGATATTTCTATGGAGGGGCATTTGCACCAATGTGTGTTTCTACACTCCTTAATTACAAGAAACTAAAAAAAACTGTGAAGAAAAGTAATTTTGCAGTAAAATAATGATTCTTAGGTAGAGCATTTGTGATTGAGCAAGTTTTTAACACTGTGTTTACACTTGTGCTATTTTTAATTCATATATGAACAAATAGCAAAAACATAATTTGAAAAGAAAAGTGCAAAATTATTGTACACCTTTCCATTATCATTCACCCATGTTTATTATAGGAAAGAAATGCTAAAAATGTTATAGATAAGTACAGAATATGAAGGGCCATGGCCATCATTAGGGAGTAACCATGACATTGCTAGATTTCAGGAACCTTACTTGTCCAACAAGGTTACCTTTTCCAGATAATGGAATAGTAAATATTTATTCCCACATTAAAAACTGAAACAAAATGAAGGAAATGGAGACGTAATACTGCTGAAGATATACGACAAACAAACAGAGAACACAGAAATGGCACAACACTAGCAATATTAACAATTCAAAACTAAGAATGATGCATCAGAATTGGAGAAGGTGAAAAGAGAGAACAGTAACCAGATATGAATGTAAATACTAAATACAGGTCCCAGTCTTGAAAACACATGTAACTTCATTTACATGAAGAGTCCACTGAAGTCAATTGAGCAAATTACACACATGCCTACATCTTTAGAAAACTGGGGTTATAGTTTTTGGAGAGTGTGATAACTTTTCTCTCTTGTAATTACTCGCATGACAGTAAACACTTAAAAGCTGTCATTCACTTCCATGTTCTTTTTTCAGTTAGAAATCCTTCATGAATTTTTGACTGGGTTTGGTTGCAAAAAAGGAAATGTATTTTACATATCAAAACCTGAAAAATACTATCAACAGACGTCAGCTTCTACTTTGGAGTTTGGAGGCCTTGATGTCAATATATACATTAATGTATTAATTTTTAAGGAACATAATTAGATAACTTTTGCGAAATAACTGTAATCCATTCTTTAAACAACTCAAAAGGAAAAATTAAAACAATGCTAACAAGAAGCAGTTTGAGGGGTAAAAAAAAAAATCCAGCATTCTCAGCATTTATGAGAGCAGGGCTCCCTGTGAACATTCTTCACCCACGAACAGCATTTTATATGCTCGGTTAAAAGAGCTGTCAAAAAATAAAATGCAAAATAATGTTTATTCTAATCATTCAATTTACCCTTGTTCGTTTACCCTCATCTACATATATAAAGAGATTTTATGCATGGATCCTATTAGCCAAATTTAAAAAGATTGCCAGAAAACTTTTATTGTACAAGAGTAGTTTGCTGTAAAATAGATGCACAATTTTTGTCACTATTAAGTTTTATGATAGTCACTCTATGGCAGGGGTTCTCAAACTGGGGGTCGGGACCCCTCAGGGGGAGTCACAAGGTCATTACATGGGGGGTTGCGAGCTGTCAACCTACCTCTACCCCAAACCCCGCTTGTCTCCAGCATTTATAATGGTGTTAAATATATTTAAAAGGGTGTTTAATTTATATGGGGGGGTCACACTCAGAGGCTTGCAATGTGCAAGGGGTCACCAGTAAAAAAGTTTGAGACCCACTGCTCTATGGTATACAAGCTGTCTAAGGCTGTTTCAGCCAACCAATTATTATTTTTCTATACCTCCAAAAGTTCTAATTCAATGCATAAACCTCCTATTATAAGAGTGTATTAAAAATAAATAATTTCTTTGGAGATCACCAGCCATAGATCACTTAAAACATTCTAGTCTTTTAATACACAGTACACACTGCTCCTTCCTTTGACATTCACTGTTCAACATAAAGAATTATTGTTGATTAGAAGTAGAGGTTAAGAGGGAAGCTGTCCAGTTGAGTCAGAGTCCTAAATGAAAAGTTCCAGCAATTTTAAAGAAGTCTTAAAATTCTCAACTTCATTGGCAAGAATTTTGGCTAAGCAAGTCCTCTGCCATATTATGTGCTGGTGAACTGATGTGAACAGGTATGTCCAGTTTATATGTGAAGGCAACACATATGAATTGTTTGCCACTGGCTACCTGGATCAGGTGTAACATCAAAAGTTATGATAAACACTAAAAGCCAATGACTCAACAGAGCGTCTCCTTTTTAACAAGTGTGTGTGTGTGTGTGTGTGTGTGTGTGTGTATACACACACACACACACACACTACTT